GCCAAGCCAAGGGGGAAGTGACCCTCCCTGCCTGCCCACGCCTGTCCCCGTTGTCCTCGAGAGAAACATGGGACAGAAACGAGGTCTGTAGGCTGAGGGGAACATAGTTCCAACCCCTAAGTCCCAGCATCTCGCTAGGGGCTCAGTGCAGGCACACTGGGCGGCCGCAGTGCTCCAGCGGCTCAGTGGGGATGGGACTGTTGGGCGCCAGCGTGGAGGCACTGGACCCGTGGGCCTCTCTCCCCAGAACGTGGAGTATAACATTTTCGAGGGAGTGGAGTGCCGGGGAGCGCCCGCCGTGGTCATAAGTCAGGGCCGAGTGGTGCTGGAGGACGGGAAGATGCTTGTCACCCCGGGGGCGGGCCGCTTCATCCCTCGGAAGACATTCCCGGACTTTGTCTACAAGAGGATCAAAGCTCGCAACAGGGTAAGGCGGCACCCACGAGGGTGTTGTGCAGGCAGGCGGGTGGGTGCTGAGTTCTGGGCCTAGAACGCACCCCTGGTCAGCCTGGCCTGGTCCCCGGAGGGGTCAGGAAGATGGAGCGGGGCTGCTGCTTGCCCAGGGCCCTGGTGGGTCTAAGTGGAGCAGAGCCTGCTCCCAAAATATGGCAGGGGAGGCCCCCGTGGTGCTGGGAGCTTCAGGCCCTGGATCAGCTCTGCAAGCGCCTGTGAATGGCAGCTGAGTCCCACCCGAGTCATCCATGGTTGTTAGATAAAATACAGATGTAAAGTGAGCAGACATCTGCCTCCCCTGGGAGCTGCCAGTTGGACCTTAGCATGGGTCCTTCTGGGATTCCCTATGGACAAACGTGCACCCTGATCTGTGGCCTGGGGCGTGTGTTTCTCTCCACACGGGCTCTCAGGAGCTCAGCCATGGGAGCCCCTCCCCTGGCCTTCCGGTCTCTTGCTGTGGTGACACCACGTTTGCCTGGGATCATCCGTGTCCGACAGTGCAGCAGGTGTGGTCTGCCCGGACCACCAGGTGCTTCACACGCACAGGGACACTCGCAGTGGTGTCTGGGCACACACACAAGTGCACGTGGGACCTCGAAGGGAGGTTGAGCATGTGCACCTGTGTTGGTAAGACTGAGGGGAGGGACGTGTGCACACACGTGTAGGTGGGACCGCAGGAGGGCATTATACATGCGTGGGGAGGACTGCAAGGAGGGAGGCGTGTGTGAACGTGGGGTGAACACCCCCCCCAGGGCAGCCTCAAATTCCTGAAGCTGGCACTGGAGAGGCGCAGAGCAGGCCCAACCCTCCAGCTGCCCATGCTCAGCCCCTCTTGCCCCATCTCTGGCCCCGCACCCCCGCAGCTGGCGGAGATCCATGGTGTGCCCCGTGGGCTGTATGACGGGCCTGTCCATGAGGTGATGGTGCCTGCCAAGCCAGGGAGTGGCGCTCAGGCCCGCGCGTCCTGCCCAGGCAAGATCTCAGTCCCTCCTGTGCGCAACCTACACCAGTCGGGGTTCAGCCTATCTGGTGAGTTGGGCCTGGGGCACCAGGTGGGGAGAGGGGCTCTGCTGGAGCGTCCTGAGGGGCCCTGGGGCCTCAGGTACCAGGGACGAGCCTGTGCCCAGAGGGGCTGCACACAGAAGGCAGCCAGCTGGGGACTGGGGCAGGAGATGCTGCTGGGGGTGTGGGGAGGCCCCTCCTGCCCACTGTCTGCCCAGGGCAGCTGTGATGAACCCCCGCCTTGGAGAGAGTGGCACTGGGGTGGGGCTGTCACATGGGGCCCAGCAGTGAGTGTGGTTCCAGCCTCAGGGGAGGTGAGTGGCCTTGACGAGGACCTCAGGATCATGTGGAATCCAGGTCCCCACTCCGCTGGCCCCAGAACCAAGCTTGAGGCACAAGGGAGGGATCTGAGCTGTGTCCTGGGGCCCCGGAGGGACATGTGAGAATGCTTGGGAGGGCTCAGGCTGCCAGGGTTCAGCCTCTGGGCTCCTAGCGGTGCTTCTGGTGCATTCTCCCAGCCCGGGGCAGTGACAGCAAAGCCCTGCTCACCTCCTGGGGACTCAGGCCTGGGGGCAGGTTCCTGAGAACCCAGCACTGAGAGGCCAGGGGCAGCCTTTCATCACCCGGGGCCCACAGCAGGGACGAGGCAGGACTGGCCCAGGCTCCTCTCGGGACAGGAAGGGCTTCCTGCAGGGTCAGCTGGAGCCCGCAGTCCCCGCGGCTCTTAGGATCTCCCGAGCAGCCTCACCTGCACCCTGGGCCTCAGGGATGGGAGACCTGCCGGGCACCTCATCCGCTTGGCCTTCTGGTGGTGGCAGGCGTGCAGGGGCTCCACGGTCCTGGCCCCACTGACACAGCCACTGACTCTGCCTCTCACCTTGAATAGAAGGGACCCTGCCCCTGCCCCATTCTCCCTGCCCACCTCTGCCCTTTCTTCAGGGTCTCAGGCTGATGACCACATCGCCCGACGCACAGCGCAGAAGATCATGGCACCGCCCGGTGGTCGCTCCAACATCACCTCTCTCTCCTAGACGCCCAGGACTGGCCCTGTGAACTATGCTGGCCCCACCTGAGGCCGCGGGGGCCCCAGGGCACTCACCCCCCCCTTTAGCGTTTTCTTTGGTAGAAGTTTCTCAAAGGTGCTTGGCGGTCTTGCCTTCCCCCTCCCCACAGGCTCTCCTCATGGGGTCCCAGGTCCTGCTGCCAAGAGCCCCTCAAGAGAAGGGCTGAACCTGGGGAGATGTCACTGCCAGGGTGAGGTGGTACCACATGGCAGGGACAGTGCCGACAGCCTGAGCCCAGGCACCCCAGTGCCTGCTGGGCCTGGCATGGGGACAGGGAACCCACCGGGCTCACAGAACACGGGAGCAGCTGGACACCAGGCTTCTTGGCGAACTGGCAAGGGGCCAAGTCCTGCCTGGGGGGTGTTTGCCACTTCCCCACCACCAGTCACTGCCTCACAGAGCCCCACACGCCTGCAGCCGCTCCTTGGAGGCCTGTGCCCGTCGCGGGCCAGGGAGGAGAGTGGGAGCAGAGCCCTCCTGCCTGGCACAGCTGCTGAGACTTCAGAGACCCATCAGAACCTGGTGCCGCGCAGCCCTGCCCGGGGAGGGCTCCTTTTACACACCCCGAGGCTCACACCTAAGCGTTCGTAGTAGCCCTCGTCCAGGGAAGTTCGGCAATCCTTTAGGAAGACACTGCTCTTATTACAGATTGTGTATTTCCGTAGGCTTCTTAGTAGCAGCTTTGTACACTGAGGACGCTGTACCCAGGAACCTGTGCATGCCACCCGCCGCCTGGACAGCAGTCTCCCTCCTCTGATGTGAATCGGGCCCATTAAAGACGTCTGGGTTTGAAGCCGCCTGTGCGTGGAAGGCGCCGTTGCCTCTCCCCCACGCCCCCACGCCGTTTCTGCAGAGGCAGGGCCCGGCTGGCTGTGGGCTGGTCCAACGCCTCCTGCAGCCGCACGCAGCTCTTCTCCCCTGAATGGCAGGGAGGAGCTCAACCTCTCACAGGGAAGAGGACCGGCAGGGCAGTCGACAGCCAGGGCAGGGCAGAGGGGGCCCCCCACACATTCTCACTGGACAGCCCGAGCTGCCCCAGAAGGCTGGGCAGCATGCACGGGAGTGTGTGGAAGCGAAGCACACACCACTGCCACACCGCTGCCCACAGACGCAGGCCCAGCACTCAAGGCCGGGCAGCTGTGAGGCTCTGACCTGAGCCCCCTAAGGTCGTGACTGCAGTGCTGGCACATGCCGTGTCTCATGAAAAGAGTGTAGACGCTTCCAGATGGTTGTCCTCACCCCAAGAGCAGGGCCTGGCCACAGTCACTGGGCACTCACTGCTGGCCGACGAGCACAGAGGGCCAGGGACTCACCTCATGCCGCCGGTTCTCTGGCCCCTGCCCATGCACCAATGGTGATGGAGAATGTCCTGCCATGGTCTCTGGGGGACCACAGGTGGGCCCATCTCTGACCCTGGGCTTCTCATTAAGCTGTGCAGAGCCCAGGCAGCAGCCCTGGAGGTGGCCCTGGGCCCTCAGCATTTCCTTCCTGGGGCTCCCTCTGGCCCAGATAGGGGAGCTGACGTCCCCCACACCAGCATCTCCTGCTCTGCCCCAGCGTGGGTCAGACAGCACCCAGACCCCACCAGTGTCTCGGAGAAGGACAAGGTGCACCACCCTGTCATGTGCCCCAAATGCACTTATACAAACCCCCACACCTGTCCTTCCCCCGAGCCCGTCTCTGACATCACCAGACTTCCACCGAGCACACGGAGCCTCTGGGCCCTCGCAGGGACCAGGCCACCCTTCCTGGTAGTGACTTGGGTGTCGTGTCCCCCATGTGAGCTGCTGAGGGCTGGAAGGCTAATTCCTGCCCTGATTCAGTGGACAGGGGTGGGTGGGGGGCGGGAAGCTGCGTTCTCTCCCCTCAGGCTTCTCACTCTGCTCCTGGCACGGCCGGTTCTTCCCCAAATGTTCTTTGGCTGTTGTCCTCTCGCAGCTCAGTCAAGGACGGGAAGGCCCCATTTGCCAGGGGTTCAGCGGGGCTCGTGGACACGGGTCTAGGCACATGTCCACCATGGCCGCTGTCCCGGGAGGGGGCACAGACCTGACACACCCATTCCCCCAGAGGAAACCAGCACAGGCCTGTCTGGAGCTCTGGGCTGACGGGCTCCTCCTCCAGCGAGACCAGAGAGAAGCGCACAGGCCGTTTACCCAGTTTCAGTTCCAACGACAGAACCACTCAGCCGCAGCGAGAGGGGTGTGTCCCTTTACGGAGGGCCAAGCACTGCCCAGTACTGCAGTGGCTCCCCTGTGCACGGGCTGTCCTGGGCTCCTCTGCCTCCAGCACCGTCTCTGCCTTCCACAGCCTTATGGCTCCAGGGCCACGGAGACAGGCACCCACCCCAAGGCCATGGTCCTGGAACTCTGGGGGCCTCTGCCCTGAGGAGCTGCCCCCCGACTGGCTGCCTTAAGTCCAGGCCAACCAGAAACTGCAGGCACGGGCCTGATGGCCAGGCAGGCACAGGACATGCGCAGAATATGCAACACCAAGCGGTTCTCACATTGTAATTCTCAGAGGTGAAAACGATACAGAAATTGCTGGGGCAGTGCGAATCTCTAGAAAACACTCACCTCCCCACCCACTACCCCCAACCCGTGCCCCTGACCTCCAAGAACCGAGCCAAGCCTGGGACACCCGCGGCCTGCTCTGCAAGGGCTCACCTTGTGAGGGGGGCTGTGCACAGCCTCGAGCTGAGTGGGGACAAAGACTCCTGTCTCATCCATGGCCCCGGCCCCCCATGAGTGGTGAGAGAGTGCCCAGCAGCGCTTCCTCCATCCAGGCGGGTCTCGGGGGCCCACAGGCAATGCCCTCCTTGCTGCCCTCCACAGGCGTCTGCTGCACCCACAGCCTCTTGTCCCCTGCAGCACCACGAGCCCAAGGTGTGAAATGTGTCCGGGCACTGTGGGCACTGCCAGCCAGGCTGCTGGGTGGGAACGTGAATGCCAGGCCTCGGCCCATGGCCTGCCCTCTGGCAGCCGAGTCTCCAAAGCAGCCCAAGGGGTAAGGATCACGGGCATCCCGGCCTAGCCGCTCCCAGCCGAGGGGCAGATGGGGCCGCACATGGGAAGGGCAGAGCGTTCCTCGTCCTCCACGGGCTCCGCAGCATCCCTGGGCTCAGGGGCGGGGAGAGGCTCGCTCGGGAGGTCCTGGCTCCTCTTCAACCTGGGGTGGCAGGAACATACAGAGGGCGTTATGCCCCCACCTCCCTGGCCTCACGGTCCCATGACCTGCCCACGGGCTCACGGGACAGGCCATGGCGTGGATGCCCAAGATGGACCACAGGCTGGGTGTCTGCTGGAAAGGCCAGGCTCCCAACACACTGGGTGCGGCAGGGAGCCTGGGGGCGGGTAGCGGCACGCGAGCACACTGGCAAGGCTCGGGGTGTTTCCAGCCAGAAGCCGAAAGGCCTTATTCTTTGCAGGTGCCACAGGTCAGTGACTTGGGAACAAGGCTCGGCTGAGCCTCATTCTTCACCCGATGGTCTGATCCCCGGGGTGCCAGCCAGTGCCCTCATCTGTCTGCACACGCCCTGCATGTTCTGCCCACAAGAGCTCAGACACACCTCCTCCAGGAGGCCCTCCTGGCCCTGCACAGGCAGAGGGGGCATCCATCCTCCCTTGGGCCCCAAGGTGGCAGCTGCTGCTATTTCTGGCCTGCCTTGCCTGCTGCTAGTCATCTGTGCCCTTCTGTCCTCTAGGGCCTGACACTCAGGAGAGGTGAGAGACAGAGTGTGCCTGGGTGGGGGAGTTGATGTGGCTCTGATGGGGCCTCCTAGGAAGTCACCACCCCTCACCTGGGCAGACGACGAGTCTCTCCCCAGATTCCAGCCACAGGTCCCGCGTGGAGCTCAGACATGCCAGAGCCTGGCAGGGGCCTCCTGCCGCTCCCCCCCACAGCTGCTGCTCAGAGTCCCCAAAGAGAGTGGGGCCGTGCACCCCAGGCCCACAGAGGTCATGTGGCTGCAGGATCTCAGGGCTTGTGTGAGAGTGGGGCCACACACCCCAGGCCCACAGTTGCCAGCTCACGTAGCCAGGAAAACCTTAAACCTTAGCCCCATTTTCCTCCTCTCTGCCACCATGCCCACCCACCCCCAACACACTCACTTTTCTCTGTTAAAAATCACGAAGTCTTGCTGGATTGCATCAAGGCAGTCTTGAAGATAGTCATTCTCCTGTGGACAGAAAGGCACATGTGAGTGTGGGGGACACTGTCCAGGTTCCGCCCACTGCCCTCAAGTGAGTGTCTGGGCATCCCCATCCGGCGTCCACCTGTGGCTTTCTTTGGACAATGGTCTCTGGGCTGTTGAAGCATCCCGGCCCTCCAGGAGCCAGACTGCCGGGGAGCTCGTATCTCCGCGGGTGATTCACCCAAGCCCCGAGGGATGCCAAGGCCCAGCTCCCTTGCCTCAGGGGGGATGGCTTGGACTTGCTCCGTGGGGTCTGCAGGACCAGGTGGAAGCTGTTCTCTGCGGGACTTTGCTGGAAACCACTCCCTTGCCAGGCCTTTCCTGTCTCATACCAGCTTCTCCCAGCCCCTCATCACAGCACACAAGCCCATCCCAGGCCTGCTTCTGGGGCCCTGCCCAGAGAATCTTGGAACCAGGGCTGTCTGAGAAGCAAGCCCTCAGGACAGGTTTGTGGACTGAGTCTGCCCCTCGCAGGACCCACCCTTGGTGGTGTGTGATGGGCAGGCAGGACTACTTCCTTCAGGCAGCAGGACCACTTCCCAAGACACAGGGGTCGGGAGGGTGTGGGTGGGGTGGAGGGGGTGCTGGTCACTCAGCGCTGGCGTGGTGTGGGGAAAGCATCATTATGGTGACCACGGACTTGGATGGTGACGTCGGTCACTGGTCACTACCAATGTGTGAGCAAATGACAGACCCAGATCAGTCAAGTCACAATGGAAAGTGCAGGGAGTCGCAGGCCTCGGGGCAGCATTAAAAGGGCCCCCATCTGCAGCTGAGGCGAGAGGATGCGCACTTTTGAGGACCACAGAACTTCAGATCCACAGGCTCAGGAAGTCACCCATGTCACAGCCAAGGCCCTGCGAGGGAGGGTGCTGGGCTCTGAAGGCCGGAGGGGACGTGTGAGTGGGTGCACACAAGAACGCTCACCCCAATCTAGACACACGAGAACACTCACCCCTATCTAGACATACAAAAGGTATAGCAAAATCCAGCGTTTCCATCTTACGGGACCACCATCCCACGCGATTGGCCAGTGAAGGAAGCGTCGTTATGCAGTGTGTGACAACAGTCTGCGTTCACTCCAGATGGACAACAGCATGCTTTCACGGCCCCACCCAGGGCTGAGGGGTCTCTTCCCTGTCAGTGTCGTCTGTGCCTCAACCACCTGGACACTCTTGCCCGCTATCCATGGATCCTATTTTTGGTCTTGCTCTGTCACCCAGGCTGGAGTGCAGTGGCGTGATCTTGGCTCACTGCCAACTCCGCCTCCCAGGATGAAGGTCCGACTGAGCCACCGGGATCTTGCAATCCACAGCGACACAGGGTGGGAGGGGCTGGGGTGGGCACCAGGGATGCAGAATGTGAGCGCCCGACATGGCCCTGTGTGCAGCCCAGTGGCAGGGGCTGCTGGTCATCCTGCAACGTCTACAGCCACGTTTTCCTAGGCAGAGAGGTCACCAGAAGCCTGAGGAGCTGCTCCAGAAACATCTGAAAGAGGTGGCTCTGAGCGGCGCCTAAGCCGGGCTGTGAGTCACCGAGATGTGCGAGCACGACCCTTTTCCACAGGGACTCCCAAGGTGTGTGGAGCGCTCCCAGCAGGATGCCATGGTGGGGTCTGTGCCTGGCCCGGATCTGCCCTGCCCTTCCTCTGACGGCCCTGCCTGTGCCTCTTCCTTGGGTGGCTGGAGCCCTTTGCCAGCACACACAGAGCCAGCGGGCCACAGAGGGGCCCTTCGCTCATGACTGGTGGGTGTGAGCGTTTGAAAGCCCAGCTCCCTCAGGGCAGGGACCTCTTGAGTCACAGGTGATGCTCCCGGGTCCCCTGAAGGCTGAAGCCGCTCCCCACAGGGTTTCTGGATTTCTGCTTGAAAGCCGGCCGGGCGTGGTGGCTCAAGCCTGTAATCCCAGCACTTCGGGAGGCCGAGATGGGCGGATCACGAGGTCAGGAGATCGAGACCATCCTGGCTAACACGGTGAAACCCTGTCTCTACTAAAAAATACAAAAAACTAGCTGGGCGAGGTGGCACGTGCCTGTAATCCCAGCTACTCGGGAGGCTGAGGCAGGAGAATGGCGTAAACCCGGGAGGCGGAGCTTGCAGTGAGCTGAGATCTGGCCACTGCACTCCGGCCCGGGTGACAGAGCAAGACTCCGCCTCAAAAAAAAAAAAAAGGAAGCCAAGCTCTGCTGGTATCTCCCATCCCACAGGCAGTGGGGGGCAGGGGTCTCTCCTGGATGCACTTTCTGAGTAACTTGACCAGGAATCCCCGTCTCAGGGCACCCGTGGTGCCTGCACACGTGCTGAGACACAGCATCGGACCCCAGATGTCACCCACAGCGATGAGGGGCCTGGGAAATGGACCAGGCTTCAGGCCCTAACACCGTCACAAACCTGCTGGGCAGCTCAGGTGCAATTGTCAAACCCCTCAGCATTCAGTGGAAATGCAAGGGACCCAGAATAGTCAAATAATGTCCAAAAAGAACAAAATCGGGGGATTCACAGAACCTGATTTGAAAGCTTGCTACAAAGCTGCAGTTATCAAGATGGTGGGGTCCCGGCATAGGGCAGACATCTGGACCAATGCAACAAAATGGCAAGTCAAAAAACAAGGTGTGATGTCAAAAGCAATTCAATGGGGAAAGAATCGTCTTTCCAGCAAACGATGCTGGGACAGTCCGATATCCACTGATGAGAGAATGAAGCTGGACCCTCACCTGACATTGTTCATAAAAATTAACTCAAAATCAATCACGCAGCTAAACGCAAGAGCTGAAACTATACGATACTTAGAAGGAAGTGTGGGAGTGAATCCCCGTGACCTCAGCCGAGGTGATGGATCCTTAGACAAAGCACAGTAGCCGAGGAGGAAATCGCCACGTAGGACAACGTCAAGGTCCATGTAGCCGAGGAGGAAATCGCCACGTGGGACAACGTCAAGGTCCACGTAGCCGAGGAGGAAATTGCCACGTTGGACAACGTCAAGGTCCACGTAGCCGAGGAGGAAATCGCCACGTTGGACAACGTCAAGGTCACGTGGGCGGAGAAATTCGCCCGCGTTGGACAACGTCAAGGTCAAGACCGCTGCTGCAAATAGTGCCCTCAAGCAAGAGAAAAAATAGCCACTGAACAGGAGAAAACGTCCACATGTCACCTGTCTGACCCAGACACTACCGTCAGGAAATAAAATACAAACTCTTCACGAAGAAACACAAAGACACACGTAGCCGAGGAGGAAATCGCCACGTTGGACAACGTCAAGGTCCAAGACTTCGCTGCTGCAAATGATGCCCTCAAGCAAGAGAAAAAATAGCCCACGGAACAGGAGAAAACGTCTGCCAATCACCTGTCTGACCAGACACCTGCGTCCAGGAAATAAAATACAAACTCTTACGAAGAAACACAAAGACAAGCAAGGACTTCTGGCTTCTGCTCTGCCGTGAACAATGTGGAAGGCCTCATTCCCATCCCTGCAACAGGAAAAATGATGAACTAATGAAAATCAATGACTTTTCCTGGACTCATCAGAGAGCTGAGGTCAAAGCACCGCTGCGACCCCCAAGTCTACAGAGACAGGTGAGCAGAGTCACAGCCAAGGCTGTATGCAGAACTCCCGGGCTGCAGTCTTATAGGCCCCCCAACCTTTTGTGGATTTCCCCTCCAGGAACCCTGCCAGGTCTTAATGAAGCCAAGGACAATCCCTTCCTGGCTCTGGCATGGGATGGGGACAGTCACCGCTGTGAAATATACCTGGAGCATTCTCCACAGCAAACGGAATTTGCTCTCCAAAGGAAAGGCTTATCTCACTGGGGGAAGACTGTTTTTCAGCCTGTACCCCGCTTTAGCCTGTCTCACCTAAGGGGAGGGGAAGAGCAAATCAACAACTGTGAAGGGGCACAGGCCCCCGAAACTGACATTTGGTCACAGACTGTGGAACAGTTCCCTCCCTGCCACCTTCTCAACACACCCACAGGGCTTCTGCAGTGACAGGGATTCCAGCAGATGGGGCCACAAAATGCAGACTCTCAATGAGGATGATGATATAGGGAAGCCCAAGGGCAACCGAGGAAATGAAAACAAATGTGAAGCCTCTGGTACCCACAGCTACAGCAGACATTAAACCCTGCCCCAAACCTGGCCTAATAACATAAACATAAACCTCACACTAAAGGCCCATCTACTTCAGCTCTTATTACCAGATGCATCATGTCTGGCTTTCAACAAACATTACAAGGCAGACTGCAAGGTCTTAAGGAAAAAAACAGTGTGAAGAGACAATGCACACATTAGAATGGATCCAGATATGGCACCCAGGTTGGAATTATCAAACAGGAAATTTAAAATAACTGTGATTAATATGGTAAGGGCTCTAAGGGAAGAGTATGCAAGAACAGATGGGGAACAGACGGGCAATGTAAGCAAAGAGATGGAAACTCCAAGGAGGGATCAAAAGGAAATGCTGGAAATAGAAAACACTGTAACAGAAATGAGGATGCCTTTGATGGTTCCTCAGTAGACTGGATCCAGATGAGGAAGGAATCTATGAGCTTGAAGAAATGTCAACAGAAAATTCTCAAACTGAAATGCAAAGAGGAAAAAAAAAGAGTGAAAAAAATGAACAGAATATCCAAGAGCTGTGGGACAATTTCAAAAGGCACCACACAAGCATAATTGGATTTCCAGCAGAAGAGAAAGAGAACAGAATATTTGAAATAATAATGACTGGGCATTTTCTGAAATTAATGACAGACACCAAACCACAGATCCAAGAAGCTCAGAGAACACCAAGCAGAAAGAATATATCAAAAAAAATCTGCACCTAGGCATATCATTACTCAAATTGCAGAAAACCAAAGAGAAAATCTTGAAAGGCGCTGGGGGTGGAGGGTGGGGAGGAATTCTACTTACAGAAAAAGAATTAGAGCAGACTGCTTGTTAGAAATCACATAAGCAAGAAGAGAGTGGAGTAAAATATTTAAAGTGTTGAAG